CTGCTGTGGCCTGGGGAAGCAATAGAAGATGGCCCAGGTCCTTGGGCCCCTGCAGCCACGTGGGAGACCTGGAAGAAGCTCCTGGCTCCTGGCTTCAGATCAGCACAACTCTGGCCATTGCAGCCATTTGGGGAGTGAACTAGCAGATGGAAGATTCTCTCCCTCTCCCCCTCCCCCTCCCTCTCCCCGCCCTCTTCCCTCCCTCTCCCCCTCCCTCTCCCCCTCCCCCTACCCTCCTCCCCCTCCCTCTCCTCCTCCTGTTCCCCTTCCCCTCCCTCTCCCCCTCCCTCTCCCCTCCCACTCTCCCTCCCTCTCCCCCTCGCCCTACCCTCCTTCTCCCCCTCTCTCTCCCCCTCCTGTTCGCCCTCCCTCTCCCCTTCTCCCCCTCCCTCAGTCTCCCCCTCTCTGTGGCTCTGCCTTTCAAAACAAATAAATAAATCGTTAAATAAATTTTTTAAAAAGCAGGTAGACGGGTACTCTCATTACTTGGTTGAGTAGAGATGTGGATAAAGTCGATTTGGAAAGTAATGTTTATGTTAATATTTACAAAAACCTAAAACATACATGCCTTTTGTCCATGCATTCCCACTTAGAGAATCTATCCTGTAATCTATCTATACATACAAGAATTTTGTGGTAGTATTGTATTTAGTTAGTGGGAAATAAAAAGAAAACACCTGAAAGAAGCCCCAGTCTCTAGGAAGTGAATGGCAGAACCTATTATGTATTGGGTGATGCAGAATATTACACAGCTCTGAAAAAGAACAAGTAAACTCTTTTTCCTGAGATGCATGATACTTTATTTTTACATAAAAAAACTATACCGTAGTATGTACAATTCAGCCTAATCTTTTTTCAATTTGTTTCTATACATAGCAAATAGGAAGTGAAAATGTTTATGTTTTAGAAGCTTTTAATTTAGATATAGTGAATAAATGTGATGTATTTCATATATACAGGTTTGGGGAGTATAGTGATACTTCCCACCCCAGCCTAATTTTTAT